AATTTAATAAAGTACATGAAAGGTGAAGATGTTAAGCCTGAGGAATCTGTTGTCAGTATTGAACTGTGGGATTTTGCTGGACAACACCTGTATTATGCATCCCATCCTGTATTTTTATCATCACGTGCGCTATATATCTTGGTGTGCAACCTCAGCAAGTCATTGCATGACACAGCCAAACCCTGTGTGAGACAAGGGTCTCGTGATGTTGATTTGGAAAACCCAAATGGGGAAACAAATCTTGAGAATTTGTTGTCTTGGTTGTCCACAGTGCATAGCGTCGCACAGATGAGAAGAGAAACCTGTGATGATGAAGAAGAGGAGGTGCCTCATTATTTGCGCCCCCCAGTGATCATTGTAGGGACCCATGCAGACAAACCATTTGAAGATATTGAAACAATGAAAACAGGAATCCAGAACGCAATTGCTGGTAAGGACTATGAAGGACATGTGGTGCGGCCTATCTTCAGCATTGACAACACTGCAAAATTAACTCAAAGAAAGATCAAGAAAAAAGTTTTCGGGAAAGATGAAAACATAGATAAGATCCAAGCTCTACAAGTCAAAATCTTGGAAGTGCTAAGACAGGAGCCTTACATTGGGGAGAGGATACCTATGAGGTAAATAATGGTTATACAAGAATAGAATCCATTAAAGTAAATATTAAAAATAATTTCAAGAGTTGAGTTGTGAACGCACTGAAATTAGGGTTTTTTTGTATGGCGTTTGTTTCCGCCAGTCCTGGTAAGATTATTTTTTTTGATATGTAATGTGTTTCAGGTGTCATCATTAACTTGTTGACTGTGACGCTATATATAAGTGTGACCGCAAAACATCTAAAGGCTGGTTCATTGTAGTCCTTTACTTTGGTTAAAAAAAATTACAGCGTGTACAGAAAAAGTTCAGTGATTCCTGAATGAGCTACCTGGCGGTCATAAGAAATGAATATCTCGTTGCTTCGTCGTTTAGAATTCCCGGTCCATTGAGGTCAACAAAAAATTTCCCGTACGGGTGGGGGTTAGTATTTTGCTGTTTTTATCCGTGACACTTCTAAATGAAGCATACATGCGGTAAAAACAACAAAACGGTTTAGGAGTACTGGAAACAAGTTTGAAAAATAAAAAAGATGGCGGCCGAAACGCGGAGAATTTTTTTTGGCTTTCAAAGACGTTTTCTGGGCATTTTCTTCGCGCTGGCTACCCCTCACGGGTTCAGGTCAAATTCAAAGGAAAACAAAAACCCAGTTTTTATCACATTCCTTGGTTTAAAAGACTGTGGTGGTTTTAAAGGCAGACGAGAGATGGCACGATATCAGGTGGTACCGTTCGCTATTTCTGCAAACTTTGGTTGTAATCTTCCCGCGAAAGTCTACGCAAGTGAAAATCCATACAAAAATGGCGATTTTTAGTTGGTTTTTAGCGCGAAAAACCCAGTGAAATCCGATAAACTGGCATTAATCGAAGGTAAGATCTTGAATTTGATGTTTTTTGATAATTATTAATATTCCGGTGGTACCCATTGAGATTTGGTTACGAGTAACTCACAATCAGAGACAAAAAACTCTCAAAGTCGCTTCAGTCTTATTATTCCGCCATATTTTAAAGACCAAATCGTGGCTCGAATGCGGCTCTAGCCTGTTGAATTCCCGGATGTGACCGGGCATTCTACGCGATGTGAAACAAGTTAACCATAAAAAACACTTCTGACTGGAAAGTGGGGGCTAATTGTCCATAACGTGGGGGCTAGTTGTCGAGGGCTAATTGTCTGGGGGGCGAATTGTCCAGATTCCTCTGCCCTGAAGGGTTTGATAATCTTATTTTGAATTGGCCGAAAAGCACTGCATGTGTACATTTCATTGTCGTTTTAAAAAGATAAAGTAAAGTGGATCACACACCCGTTCAATCTGTAGTAAGCTGCATAATACATGGTGAACATTCAGAACATGACCAGCTTTTAACTCAAGAAAGACCATTTTAATACCAACTAATAAAAAATCTTCATGGTTTTTCACATCTCAGCAGTCATGTTTTGGAGCGTTTGCATGCTTCTGGCACCGGTTGTTCAAACGATGAATCAGTATCAAGCGGAAAAAATATCAGTAAACCTAATGGCACTATCCACTATTTATCCAGTGAAAAGATTTATCCACCTTTCGCACAACTGGGCCCTGTACTTTAGTCAGCACAGGTATACTGTGTCGTTACAGACATGTATACTTTAACACGCGCCATCAGTTTTCTCTTTGGTTTTGTAAACTAGGTGGCTGAGCTTTGAGAAAGTCATCAACGCTTTGCTTTCCAAGCCAGTTTATTACCTGAGTATAACAAACCTAAGGACCCATGCCAAGGAGAAGTGCTTCATCAGTGACGATGAAGAGTTTACCACCATGGTGAATTTTTATCATGACCTGGGGATAATTATCAAGCACCGTAGCACAGTCACCTTGAGTGCCAAGTGGCTGATAGACTTGTTCGGGCAGCTGATCACTATTCCAGATTTTAGGAAAATGGTAAGAAAGACATTTTAAACGTGTTTTCAAACTTACAATGCTTTGTAATGGCCCCCATTTTGGATGAAATCATGGGTGTCAAACCGTGCCGTAACAAATAAAAATGATTATGTCTCATACATTGCACGCTAGCTTTCGTGTGTGACATCAGCACAATCTACCTTTAAAGGGGTGCAATGGAAGCACATTGCATGACTTGTAGAATTATCCTCAAGTGTAGTCTTAAAGGAACGTCTCACAACAAAAAAAAAAATGGAAAGATACATATACGTCTGCTGAAACCAGCGACTCTTTATGTCGAACAATCAGAACGCACTTTTATAGTTTCTGGAAGTGAAATTTGGACCTTAAGAATTTTCCGGAGAGTAAACCAAATAGAGGATTCTGGCATTTACGTGACGCTTTAAAGAGCATTCTATAGATTTGAAATCTGAGGTCTGTTTAAAAGGCTATGATCTTTTTTCGCCCCCAGAAAGATTTATTCACAGTTATACTTTCTAATCAGTCTTTCGTAACTTTCATTTTAGACGTGTCCTCACACAAATCCGCAAATTACAAGGAGAAAAGTTTTCCTTGAATGTTTGCTTAAAATGTTTAGTAGCTTATTTCTTTTAGAGAACTTGCTAAACTTTATTAGTATAACATTTAGAAATGTAAAATGATCCTGGAAGAAAGCTATTTTGAATAGTTTTGTGATCATTCAATCAATCAAATCAATCAATCAATCAGTCTTTATTCTTCGTAAGATAAAAAGACATATCTTAAGTTACATCAGCAGTTAGGATTCTAAAAATACATACGACATACTGTATACAAATAATAGAAAGATTAAAGATTATATCTAAAAATAAGCCTATTTACAAAAACATTCTTAAATGTATCAGTCTTTATATCCTAGCGATGAGCACTTTTGTTTCTGAGTTGTTACTTTGTTTCTTTCTTCTTCGGAAAGATGTTACTAAGCTGGCAATCGGGATCCACTGAACGTACCTTGAAAAGCTTCTTATCTGCCTTTTCTAAAATTTCTCGAATGTCCATTCTCTTAGATGTGTATTTCCTTTTAAAACATCTATCCAAAACGTTTTGTATGACCGTGAAATCTGAGTCTACAGCGCTATAAACAGGCAGACCATAAGTGATATTCGGTAAAACTAAGGCGCTAAATAGGTGGCTACTTCAACTTGACTAAAACCTTCCATCCGTAAAAAATCTTAATACAAACAGACACTAACAGTATTTGCCTTAATCAACTTAGCATGTACGTGTTCGCTATATTTACAATTCTCCTGAAACCTAACACCTAAAATGAGCAGTGAATGTTATTAACTTGCACAATATCCTGAATAAAACCTTTCTTGCGAAAAATAATTTCTTTACATTCCTCTTGTTATTCCGTCTTAGGTCCCTAAGTTTGCAAAGCACTGGAAGGAGGTCGAAGAAAGCGGTGTTCTCAGCATGGAACTGCTTGATCATGTGTTTTCCAAATTTCTTCTGGAGGGCGTTGCTAGGAAAGACATTCTGGATTTGATGGAACAATTTGGATTGATTGCAAAATTTTCATCTTCAAAGACAGGTGAAAAGTATTTCGTTCCATCTCAACTCAAAGCTTCGCCTGATTCCCTTTGTTCCATAGCGCCCTCAAGGCTCGACCCTTGTCCTCTGTTTGTTTACTTTGTCAGCGGTTCTGTTCCCCATGGTCTGTTCACTCGGCTTGTTTCTCGATCTGTCCGTTGGTGTTCAGAGGCTGGTCCAACTCAGCCCCCTACCCTGTACCAAAATGGAGCGTGGTTTATCATTGGGAAGCAAACTTTCCATGATTTTGTTCTTATTTGTAAGAAGCAGTTTATTAAGTTTTTTATCAAGCAAAGAAACCAACTTCAGCAGATCTCGGTGGATGGCACAAGTGAGGTAGCAGTGCATGTTCGTGAGTTTGTGGAGGCAACTTTGCAAACTTTGTCACGTGATCTCTATAAAGGTGGATTGCAGTATCATATTCGGGTCGCCTGTCCGTATTGTCAGCGGGAAAAGTGTTCAAGGCATGATCAGATTGCATGTTCTCATGAAGATTGTCTTCATCTCCTTGAGTTAAGACAAGGCGATCCTCTGATTTGCAAGAAGAAACCTGTTGAGGAGGTACTCACAGTTAAGGGACAGCAAAAGTGGTTCTCGCAAGCAGAAAGTAAGGTAGGTAGCAGTGAAATGCGATCTCTAGCAGTAGTCTTAGCAAATTTCATATAGCAAGTGAATACACATACTACTAATAAAAAAATTATGTCCTTAAAAGATGGCCATCTATTTAAAATAAAAAGGTTTCAACAAAGTCTATGCATGTGGTTTGTCAGGTTATAGTGTGATGTACAACGTATGCCTTCATTTATCCTACCACAAGCTTCCTTGCAGTGTATGAGAAGGCTTTGTTGCTGTCAACTTAACGAACATTGGTTCTTAATATCAAGTCGGTTGATAAGGTCAATTGGCTACCATCTATTACTAATTGTTATTGGCCTGTTGACATTAAGCAGTGGGTATATAACTTTTTCTCAAGTCTTTTTAATGTGCTGTTTTGCTTTAATGTTGAGTAATACGTTTATAGCATCTAACGTGTTGATAACATGTTTTGCAAACTTTCACTCCAAAATGTAGAAACCCCCAGATGTAAAAGTTTATATTTTAAAGTGCACAATTTTGGTTGCTATGCAGGAGGCGTGTACTCAATCATCATCACCTGATACTGCACAAGCTCGTCCAGAGAGTCTTGTACTAAGAGTTGCCCTTCTCGCGAATGAGTGGGGGTCGTCCAAGGGTGGCTTGTCAACGATAAACAGAACTCTTGCCATACATTTGGCAAAAGACGCAAACGTAGAAGTCACCATTCTTGTACCTGAATTTGAGTGTGGCGAAGAGGATAAGAGAGCTGCCGAAAGTCACAACATTGCCATCCGGGAAGCAGAGCGCCTTCCTGGCTTCAGTGATCCTCTTGACTGGTTGAGTTTTCCACCAGATGACCTTGACATTCAGGTTGTGATCGGCCATGGAGCAAAGCTTGGCAGACAAGCACAAATTATCAGAAAGTCCCATCGATGCAAGTGGGTGCAGGTTGTTCACACTGAGCCTGAAGAGCTGGGGATGCATAAGAACTATCCAAGCGCCATTGCCAAGGGAGAAGGGAAGAACAGAGCTGAAGTTGACCTTTGTCAAATTGCAGATCTCGTTGTAGCCGTTGGACCCAAGTTGAAAGAAGCGTTCTCGTCCAAGTTGCGTTCATCTCGTCGAGATATCCTTCAACTGATACCAGGTTCCTTCGCAGAGTTTTCAAACATTGAACATGCTGAACAAGAAAGTGTAAATTTCAAAGTGTTAGCCTTCGGTCGCGGTGATTTCGAAGACTTTAGTCTTAAAGGATACGACGTTGCTGCTCAATCCATAGTTGAATTGAAGGACAGTTCCTATAGTCTTGTTTTCGTTGGTGCACCCGATGGAAGGCAGGATGAAGTCGCAGAAATCTTACTCCAGACTGGCATTTCAAAGAACCAGCTGATTGTCAGATCATTTGTGAAAGACAAACAAAGATTGAGAGAGTTGTTTTGTGAAGTCGATCTGGCCATCATGCCATCAAGAACTGAGGGGTTTGGTTTGACAGCATTGGAAGCCATGTCAGCTGGTCTTCCCATTCTGGTTAGTGGAAACTCCGGATTTGGAAAAGCACTGCGTGGTCTTCCAATGGGTGAATCATTTGTGATCGACTGTGATGACCCCAAGGAATGGGCAAAGGCAATTGCAGCCATCCGTCAAAAATCAAGGACACAGCGGCTTGAGGAAATTCAAAGACTGCGAAGATGTTATGATGAAAGATTCTCTTGGGAGAGACAGTGCCAGGCCCTTGTTGACAGGATGTGGAAGATGGTTTATGGTAAGAAATCAAATTTACCGATAGGAAAGTAACAATAATAATAATAATTAGTACTTGAAAATGTGAAAATGCATATCTTATCAAGATTATCCTTCATTTGACCTTCATCATTCATCGCTGTATGTCCATGGCTTCTGCAACAGCGAGTGCATAAATACATTTTTACTACATTATTTTTCGTGGTCCATGTGCATCGCTGTAGAAATGTTGTCATTAACCTTTTTAACCTTAATGTTAACATTCACACTCTCCACACTGTTCTCCATACATATCTTGTGTTACTGATTAGGAGAATTTGTTTAATAATCAAGATCTTTTTTACCGGCTTACCAATTCCATTGATTATTTTCCAATTCCCCATAATACACTCTGTCTGCCCCCCAAATTTTGCATAACTTATTGTCTTAAAATGCTTTTGGGAAAATGCGATACTCCCAGGAGCATTTAAAAACAATGGTTTATGCAAAATTTGGGGGGCAAACAGAGTGTATTATGGGGAATTGGAAAATAGAGAATTCTTTAAAACTTTTAAGTATAATTTTATAAAATGTTGGCTACACTTGAAGGAGTTAACAATAAAAGAAAATGAAAATCTATAACATTGCGATACATCAAAGTCATCTGATTTCTATTCATATGCCGCAGTAATGGTGGGGTTCTCTTGTATATAAAAAGAAAATAACAACAAAAGCCCAGCCAAACTTTTGGGTTATAACTTATTACAAAAAATGAATGGAGGGCTTTTAAGGTTGGAATTTTTCTTTTTTTAAGAGTGACATTTTTTTGTTATAATCAACACTTTTTGTTTAATTTACAGGTCTTGAAAAAACCAAAGAAGGTGACTTTCCACCGAACGACTGTGAAAAAGTTGCTGCAGCAGGACCGAAGGCAGGTAATGTAATTGTTTGCTTTGTCAATAAAAGCAAAGACAAAATTTATTTTGCAGTAGAGTGCGGTTATTTTCTTCTGTTGAACAAGGGTGCTTTCGATTATTCCGATGCTTTTAGCTTTTCAATGGTTAGTGTAGCATCTCCGAGTATTTAAATTCACTGCTAATTTTAAACTTTATAGGTGTTGAAAAAACCAAAGAAGATGACGTTCCACAAAATGGTTTTGAAAAAGATGCTGCAACAGGACCGATGGCAGGTGATGTCATTGTTTGCTTTGCCAATTAAACCAAAGCCAAAATATATTTTTGCAGTAGAGTGAAGTTACTTTGTTCTTTTAAAATCACAGTAATGTTTCTGAAATTGTCGACTGTTGTAAGCTTCAGACCAATGCACTGTGCTGCACCTGTTTTATGGAACTCGCTGCCATTAAGTAAAAGAACAAGTAGGAGCCTTGCCATTTTTTAAAAGCATCTTAAAACATTTCTTTTTAGGCCGGAGAGCTTATAATTTACTAGAATAACTCTGAAGTTTAGTGCTTAAGTTTGTATAGAATTAGACTTTTTAGATTTTCGCAGAGCATGGAATTTTTTTATTATTATTATTGTTAATATTAGCTTTTTAGGAATTTTTTTTAATTGTAACTTAATGTGAAGCGCTTTTGAATATTTTATAGTTCTAGTACAGGGGGGGCCCACGACATAGTACTAGGCGCTATTGGAGTCGTGGGCCCCCCCCTGTTCTAGTACTATACAAATTCTTTATCATTATCATGATCATCATCTCCTATAAAACTGGCGCGAAATAACCTCGACCGTAAAATTCCCAAAATAATCTCCGGAGCTTATATTTTTCAAAGGTTCTTTTTGAGGGGCTTCTTTTTGGAGGGGCCTATATTCGGAGGGGCTTATCTACGGAGGGATATTTGCGTTTCAAAATCGATTAAGCTTCCCTTATAGATGGAAGTAAATTTACCATTTTTGCTTTGTTTCACTCTGTATTTGAGGGCAAGTACCAGCCCCCGGGGGGCTTATATTTGGAGGGGCGATTTAACGGAGGGTTTTTAGCGTTACCGGTCTGGGGGGCTTACATTTGGAGGGGCTTATACATAGAGGGGCTTATTTGCGGAATTTTACGGTATCTTATTTTGTCTTTTTCATCTTCCGCTTTCAGGTGAACTCATTTTCCGTGCACTTCAACAAATCCTACTGGAAGCACGCATAGAGTCCGGCAAAACCGAGCTTTCGCAGGCTTTAAAGAGGATTGCCTTGGAAAAAGGTTTTGCGATTTCTGACAATCAAGGAGAGGGAAACTGCATGTTTTTTGCACTTTCAGAGCAGCTTGACCTCATCAAAGGAATTCAAATGTCCCATGATGAGTTACGCCGAACTGTTGTTCAACACCTTCGGGAAAACCCCAGGCTGGTAAGTATCTTATTACCTTATTAGGGTGCACACATTTGCAGTATACGAGCATAGCCGTGGCATTTGCCCGCTACATTGTTTTAATTCCTCTTAAAGTTAAAAACAATAAGGCCCTGTCCACACGTATCCGAAATACGCGTCCACACGAAGCGTATTTGAATCTTTTTCGCCCGTCCACGTAAAAACGCTAAAATGATTGAAATAGGAATAGCATCCATTTACAGAGCATGCGCAATGTTGTGTTCTAAGTCCTCTGTATTCGTCCATCCGCACGTCCTTTTCTAAAATCTCCACTCTTGGGAACATTTGTGAAAACCTGCTTCTTCGGCGCCCGAAAATGCCGATCACGTGTGGACGGAAGGCTAAAATGGACAAATAAATATCCGATTTAAAAATATATATATCTGGATACGTGTGGAGGGGGCCTCAAATTCCTGCGATTGGATGTGATGGCTTTACGGGTTTGCTGCAAATAAATCCACCCTTTATGAGCAAAACATCAGCTCTGCATGAGCATCACGCTTGTTTGTACGTTGCTTCGTCGTTCACTGCACGACTGCGACGCAAAACGTCCGTATGCGACGTTTTGTGGAGGGCACCGAACCCCCTACAGTGAATTATTGTTTTCGGGCTTGGATACAGTAATTAAGAACTCAAATCTAAGACAATTCGTCGGCTTATGTTAAATTAAGCATTATGATAAAGTTTGAGAGAACACTCATTCTTTTCCCAAGTTACTTTCGAGTCGGAGGCATAAATGGATACGGAGAAATTTTTTTACCTGTTATTGTCGGCTCGATCGTCATGCTCATGTCCTAATTTATTTTTTAACTGTACGGTATATTGCTGAACTTGAAATGTCGACCAACACAAGTTTTGTGTGAACAGGATATGACTACACACTGGTTTAAAAGTCAGAATTTCCAAACTCAGATTATTTTAACAGTAAACATCCCTTCCCTCCTCTCTCTCTCTCTCTTACACGTGTAACGGACACCTCCCTAAAAGTGTTGGTCCCTGCCGTTCTTAACTGTTGTTTTTTAACATTTTTAAGGAGAGTAGTGTAGGTCACACAGGTTAGACCCCTTTTTGTAGTCGAATCTTATCACTGTGATGACATGACATCTTTATCTCAGCAATAAAATGCGGTGGAATCTCTTCAAGATAACGTTACGAGCTATTTTTATGTAGTATTTAGTATATCCAATTATTCTTATATTGATGATGTAACTTGTTGGGGTCTTGTCCTTATTTTGTGAGAATGATGCCGTAGATCATTTTAAATTATGCGCGTCATGTTTTTATTTGGTCATGAAGACACCTCTGAGCCATGACGCCTTCATTGTCCATTGCAGACAACTTAATCTGTGTTCACACTATACCGTATAGTTTTTTCGCGGGCACGAAAATCATATCGGATGGGGTTTCAGTTCACACATAAGAACGGTGATTTCGGCGCGATTTCTGTTAAACGGAGAGAAGCTGTGCCCCGCCGATCTTTTAAGTGGAGAGTCACATATCGGATAGATGTTCACACTTTACTGGATGGCTTTTCGTGTCGTCACCAAAGCTTATCTGGTATAGTATGATCATAGCTTTATTGTTCTGGTTCCGGTTCACTGATTCTTGGCGCGCAAAGGAGATAAAGACGTCATCGACGTTAATATATTCCACTTTAAAAAAGACGTCTACCTGGTCCGTCCTATACTACTAACGTGAACAAATCTCTGCTTTAATACTTTTCTCCTAAAACAGTGTACACCATACTAGTGCTGATACCAGCGGGGTCGGTCTTAGAGAGAACAGACTTCGTGGCTGTCTAAATAAATACCTTCTACAAAAGTACTCTACATTTTCTCTATTAACTATAGTATTTTCTTTCTTTCTTACAGCCGGATGGGACAGAACTGTTTCATTTTGTTGATGGATATAAATCTTGGGATACTTACCTCACAAGTATGATGGTAGATGGTACATGGGGTGATCACGTGATTCTACACGGCGCGGCAAACTGTTTTCAAACGTGCATCTACGTGATCAGCAGTCTTCCGCATCGCCATGAGGTAATGATCTGCCCAGAGTTTGATGTTAGTGGTGGCAACCGGCTTGTGCTGGGTCATGTGCACGAGCTTCACTATGTTAGCCTTATTCCACATAACGGAAGTAAAGATGTCTGAGTATACTGCGATTCAAGAGTTGTTAACTCGCGATATCAAATTGAAGACATTTGAATGGAACAACTGCCTGAACCTTTGTTGTGGCACCGTATTTGAAAAGATGTTGGCAAGAAAAAAGATTTAGATTTTAAGAACAGTTTTTGCTCCATGTGTTCCTTGGCTGCAGTCTCTGAAAATATTTAGTGTCAGTTTCCGTACTGAGTAGAATTTGTTCGTATAGGATCAATCCTTTTTTAAGATATTCCTTACCACAGAACTTAGTCAAAGACTTTTCTAATCGAGTTTGTTCTTTAAGAATTGTTCCTGTTTCTGGTGCGCTTTTATCAATCTGTAAATACTGTCAGCCATCAGAACTACAGTCAGCCATATTCGAGATCATCTGTTGTTCCACACCTGTGACGTCACGTCACGTGATAGGCAAAATCAAAGCACCAATGGCGGAAGTTCAAGTAAGCGGCAAATTTGACACTTTGAATTTCGTTTTCTGAGCCAAATAAATCGCTGAAGATATATTTCTTGATGGTATTACAATTAGAAAAACATTTTCAAGGTTTTTCCGAAAAATGTTGTCCTACGCGAGAGTTGCCCTTTAAGGCGAATTTCTGAATGACAGTAACCCTTATCTAGCTTGCGAATACAGAAGCCTCTAATTCCGCCTCGTCGCTGGGGAACACCAATTCCTTATCATAGTATGCAAGTATTTTAATATAGTAGAAGTAACTTACCAGAGTATTTTTTTTACCATTGTGTGTTAATATATTACCAAGGCCACTGCCTCTATTTTGGTACATCAAGTAATATATTTAGATTATGGTAAAATTAGTTAGGTTTTAAAAAAATATGTCATTCTACGTACTTAGTGAGAGTCTTTTTATAATTTGCTATAGTGTATTAACTTATAAATTAAAACGTACTAGTGTTAGGGCCGGACCGGTTATTTTTTAATTGAAAGATGCTTTTTAAAGGAGTTTTGGCTAAAGTTACATATCATGATCAACCGATGCATATTATTCATAAATTGACTCATCTCAGGCTGGACAGTTTCAATTAATTCATAGACTATTACAGAGGACCGCCCTTCTATAGTGGAGGCTGTTTTTTTTTTCAGCCTCAGTATACAGTCTTGGTACAAACAAATTATGTTCCTTAGATTAAAGGAGTGTTACATAGAGTTTGTACTATTAAAAATTTGAGCCAAATGATCTGATGCAATGTGATTTTTCAATTTATAAATTAGTGTGGTTAATTGCCTTGTCCTTCGTGTCTCAAGATTATCCCACCCAAGTTCATCCAGTATCTCAACTGATCGCCTATGGTAACTAGAGGAAGTTACCACCCTGGCAGCTCTTTTTCGGAGGGTCTAGAGTCTGTTACGTATCCCTTCCCCACAGCTCCCCCACACTATACTACAATAATCGAAATACGGTAGTAGAATGGATTTGAACATCGTAATTAATGTATGATAAGGTATGAGATGCATTACGCATCTCAGAACTCCAATCCCTCCAGAAGCTTTCTTAGCAATTTTGTCTACATGATCTCTCCAAGTTAGTGATTGATCTATTTCAACACCATGATATTTATAACCCTGCGATGGGCTAGGATCCCGTCCAGGGGGGAATAGCAATACTCCTAGGCTTGCTTCATGCTACGGAAACAGGTATAAGCTCCAGCCGTGTGGGCCTTGGGCTCATGTGCGCTTTTACCTTACCTTTTTCTCATTACCATGGGAACGGTGTGGCTGCCCGTCAATTCTGACAAATGAACAGTGCCCCTTACCCCTTAGTTTAAAACACTACTAACCATTCTTTGTGCTATAGACATCTTGATCTCATGCATGCTAAGTAAGTGTTTTTTTTTTTGGAAATTCAGTTTTTTCGTTTTTGAAGATAAAGTTGTATAAAGTATTTTATTCTATTAGTTAAGAAGCAATGAATGGCTTAAAGTAAACAAATTTTCACTAAATGACACCAAAACAAACTATACTCTTTTTCGACCCAGGCAAAAACCCATTAGTATTAGTGATACAATTACGCTAGATAATATTGCTGTGCAACAGGTTGAAGTGACAAAGTTCCTTGGTGTTTTACTTGATCAGCATCTTTCTTGGAAAATCATATAAATCATGTTGTTAAAAAAGTATCAAAGACTATAGGAATCATAAGTAAAGCGCGTTTCTTTCTTTCTTACAAATCTTGTTATCCTTATACTATACATTGAATTACCCGTATCTTAACTACTGTAACACTGAGTCAGGAGCTTAACGTATCCATCCAATTTGAATAGGATTCTCTACGTACCGAAACGCATCATCAGAATCGTTTGTGAAGCTGAATATCTTGCCCATACTGTCCAAGAGCCATGATAGGTCCTATTATGGCTCTTGGTCGAGGATATTATGGCTCTTGCCTTGACAGTTTTAGCATTATTGCGTTCTTTGTTGCGTGTTTTATGCACTCATATCATAATAACCTCCTTCCTCATACGTTTAACACCACCTTTGTTACTAATCGCCAAGTACACACATATAATACTCGAAATGCTAATAACTACCGACCATATTTCTGTAGAACAAACATTAAACAGTTCACAATCCTCCATTTAGGACCTAAACTATGGACCTCCCTTTCCCATATTCAGTCCCCCTCCCTCCCCCCCACCCTAATCAAGGGAAGAAAGTTAATAAGTCCCCTACCCCTCCCCTTATTATTCTTCTCTTCACTGTGTTAATCAATCTCGACTGTAAAACTTCATGTGGACTGATCCAGGATGGTTTATTCACCAACTGACAGTTCGGACTTGTTATTGATCATCAGCTGTGTGACCTCCAACTTCTTGTACTTGATCTTGAGCTTTTCACTTTGTATTCTAATTCTTTCGGCAGAACTGATAACATCGTCTTTGATGAATTAAATAAGCCCCCCTCTCTCATAAGCCGTCCCCCC